GAGGGAGCGTGCGGGACCAGGAGCCTGGGGGGCATCTTCTCTAGTTCGGGGTGGGGGGGTCGGGGATTCCTGTTTCTCTTCTCCTGGCCCCTCCTTTATTGACTGATCTCACTCCCAGTTAAGGGATTCCTGCTAAGGACCGGCCTTGGGGATAGCGGTTAAGGGGGCTGGATCCCCCATGACTGACCAAGGCTCTAGTCCTGGTCCCAGAGGTTTGAGCAAGCCAGGCACGTGTGTGGGTGTGCAAAGCCCCAACAGGATGGAGAAATAAGAGACAAAATTGCAAAGTGGCCAAGTCCCATTGAGGGTGTTTTATCTCTTTCTCTCTCTCTGGCAAGTGCACATGCCCTTTGGCCAAAAGAGAGAGAGAGAAAGAGGAGGAGGAGGAGAAGGACAGGAAGGGGAAGGAGGAGGAGAATAGGAAGGGGAAGGGGAAGGAAGAAATAAGAGACAAAATTGCAAAGTGGCCAAGTCCCATTGAGGGTGTTTTATCTCTTTCTCTCTCTCTGGCAAGTGCACATGCCCTTTGGCCAAAAGAGAGAGAGAGAAAGAGGAGGAGGAGGAGAAGGACAGGAAGGGGAAGGAGGAGGAGAATAGGAAGGGGAAGGGGAAGGAGGAGAAGAAAGAGGAAGAGGAGGAGAAGGAGGAGGAGAAAGAGGAAGAGGAGGAGAAGGAGGAGGAGAAGGAGGAGGAGAAGGAGGAGGAGGAGGAGAGGAGGAGAAGGAGGAGGAGAAGGAGGAGGAGAAGGAGGAGGAGAAAGAGGAAGAGAAGGAGGAGGAGAAGGAGGAGGAGAAAGAGAAAAAGGAGAAGGAGGAGGAGGAGGAGGAGAAAGAAAGAAGAAGTTGTTTCTATGAAGTGCCAGGCCCTTTTTCGGGGTGGGGCCATGGCAGAAAACCACAGAGACCCGCCCCTGCTCTGGTGGGAGCTGTGTCCCCCTGGGCGGGTTTGCATGGTGGACAAGGCAGCACAGAAGTCATGTGACGTGGCAGTCCGCGATGAAAACTGGGAAGAGATAGTTCCCACTTGGGTTTGGGACAATGTGTGGGGGACGAGTCGCTGTTTTATGCATGATGAGTGGGGTGGGGGCCACGCTGAGTGGAGGATGTCTGAGTGGAGACCGGCAGGGCGAGGGGAACGGGGCACCGGGGAGCTGAGGAGAGGCAGTCCAGGCAGAGGGCAGAGTGACTGCGGAAGTCCTAGGACCCTCAGGACCCACCAGGCAGGGCTGGGAGCCGATGCTGTGGGCTCCGCTGACCCCACACTCTCTGCTCTCTCCCCTGCTGACCCAGAGCCCGGTCTCATTCCATCCTGTTCTGAGAAGTGTCTGAGGCAGGTGGCCCTGAGCTGGGTCACTCGGTCACGCCATCAACAGCCATGAGCTTTGCAGGCTGCCGTGTAGGCACAGGGCAGGTCCCACAGCCCGTGCACATGGGAGCAAGGCCCTGACCACGGGAGTGCCCTCCAGAGGGCAGGCCTTGACCCCATTGCCTTCTTACTGACTCCCAGCCCCAGAGAGCAGCCGCACGGTGCAGAGGCTCGTGTAGACATGCCCTGGACGGGGCCTGCCCGGGTCCCTGGGTCTCCCCTCATGTCACTCTCATGGGGGTGCCCGCCTCATGCTCACAGTCCTAAGTCTCAAAGACTTGTGTTTGTGCACACGTGTGTGTGTGTGTGTGCATGTGTGTAGTGGTGGTTTTACCTTGTTAGACAGCGTCTTTCCATGCTGGATTGCTGTAGCCACAGGATTTGGGCATAACGAACAGGGGGAAAGTGGAGGGACCAGGAGGGCTCCCCAGGGGAGGTGGCTCACTGTCCCTGTTTACCACCACAGGTCCCTGGTCAGCATCATCCACTTCGTGCTCCTGGTCTTCCTGAAGCTGCCCCTGCTCCTGGGCATGCTCAGTGCTGTCCTCTGGGTGAACCGGCCTCAGAGAACCTGGGGGAGGCAGAGCCGGCCTGATAACGAGAACCAGGAGCCCTGATGCCCATCGATGCCCTGCCAGGAAACAGCTCCCTGGTGTGCAGGGGAAGGGCCTTCGGATCAGTAAATCCTCGTTTCTCTCAGAATGTTGTGGAGGTTATTTTGAAGTGTATAATACACACCAAAGAACACCTACACTGTGAGCCAGGAATACTCTGCAACCCTTGTGTACCCAGCACTAAGGTTTGGAAGATGTTTGTCCCCCAAAGGCTCGTGCTCTGTGATGCAGCTGTGTCTGGCCTGCTGCTGGCCCGTGTCTTTCCAGCCATCAGAACTGTGAACCAAATAAACCTCTATTATTTTCTTTAAATTGCCACAGGGTGGGGTACTCTCTCTCCAGAAGGAGAGACAGAGAACAAGAGAGGGAAGAAATACTCCCAGATAGCATGTGGGCACACCACAATCCCTTCTCCACCCTTTGGGATTTTGGACACACACACATTCACCGGGCATGTTTCTCTTTTTTTTTTTTTTTTGTGGGTTTTTCCTTCACGGGCCTTGCCAGATAGACAGAGAGAGACATAGAGACAGAAAGTGAGAAATCACCCCCCAGAGGGGATGGTCATGCTGCAATCCCTTCTCCTCCATTCTCCTCTCGGGATCTTGTGCACGCACGCACACATGCCTGGTGTGAGTTTTAAGCCACCGGGTCCGGGACGCGAACTGCAGTCGACTACGTGGGAATCCAGCAACATATCCATTACGCTAACTGCTGGTTCCCATCACCGGGCATGTTTCTTAAGCTCCCAGGGTGGGGCGTGAACCACAGGAAGATGTGGAATCTATCTTCCTTAAGCACTAGGGTGTAAGGAGGACCCTAAACGTCTGATCTTTATAAATCACCCCATCTCAGGTCACTATAATGGACTTAGACACCCACATTCCAGCCTTAGTGATAGAAATCCTAGTATTTGTAGACCCTAAACCCCTTTCTTACGTGCTTTCTTTTCTATTCTCAAAATAGAACAAAATCCTGAATTTTATGTTCATCATTTCCTTGTTTTAAGGGCTTTGCCAAGTACGCATACACACACGGATGTCCAAAGGGCATATTGTTTAGCTTTTATGTGAACTTTATATGAACAGAATTATGCATATGATTTTATCATTCAACATGATATTTTTCAGCTTTACCATGTTGGGGCCAGCAGATGGCATAGCAGTTACATCACTGGATTCCCAAATGGCCAACTGTGATTCGAATCTCAGACCCTGTGGCTTCAAAATCACACTGGTGCATGTGTGTGTGACCAAGATCCTAGGAGGAGAATGGAGGAGAAAGGATTGTGGTGTGGCCATTCTCCCTGGGGGTGTTAGGGGGGGTGAGGTTTCTCACTTTCCCTCTCAATGTCTCCATCTCTGTGTCCAGGTAGTGCACACACCCTAGGGCAAAAAAACCCTCTAAAAAATCAAAAAGATTCCTCATGTTGGGGCCAGCAGGTTGTGTGATGGCTAAAGCATTAGAGTCCCACATAGACAACTGGAGTTCAAGTCCTGGACCTCGGGGCTTCAAAATTATGCCAGGCACATATACACACCTGCCCCGTACCCCAGGGGGAAAACAGAGAAGGGACAGTGGCACGGCGTGTTAGCAGGCTTCTTGGTGTTGAGATCATCCTGAACTATGTTTTTATTAATAAGACGTATGCCTACTTGTGTAACCATCTCTCTCTTCCCTGAAGTAGCTTACAGTACTGCTGACCTTGAGATAAACTTACTTTTCCTTTTTCCCCAAAGAAAATGCAGTGGTACCGGATGGGGCAGTGGTCACATCAGTGGACTCCCACATGGCCATCCACGATTCGAGTCTTGGACCTGGTGGCTTGAAAGTCACGCTGGGTGCATGTGTGTGTGTGCCCCAAATCCCGAGAGGAGTTAGAAGAGAAGGGATTGTGGCATGGCCATCCCCCCTGGGGGGTGAGTTCTCTCTGTCTTACTGTCTCTCTGCTGAGCACATGCACCCTATAGCAAAAATCTCTCCAAAACTGAAAAAAAGAAAGAAAGAAAATGCCTTTTTCTTCCTTCCGTTTCTTTTCCTTCATCTTCTTATTTTTTTTAAATTAATGAATTAATTATTTTTGGTAATTTGCTGTAGAGCACATGCACTCACTGGAAAGAGAGAGATGGAGGGAAAGTGAGAAACAGCCCCCGGAGGGGATGGCCATACCACAGTCCCTTCTCCGTTCACCTCCTGGGATTTGGGGTGCAAACGCACACGTGGATGCACCTTGTGCGTCTTGCTTTTTATTCTCCTTTTTCTTCCTTTCTTCTTCTCTTCTTTTTTCCCCTCTTCTTCCTTTTCTCCTTCTCTTCTGTTTTTATTTGCTATTATTTATGATGTTGTTATGCATATCCTTGAACCTATATAATGTACATGTTAAAACTTTCTCATATAGTTCTAGGGCAAAATTGCTAGGTTTTGCTACATGTGCTTAATCAACTCCATCAAGCAATTCTGATGACTTTCCAGTGTTCCTGTACCAGCGTCCACTCCCACTGGTTCCCACTGCTCCGATCTTACCTGACTTTTTAACTTCTCCGAGGTCATTAGTGTGAATGGCATCTCATTGCTTCCACTTGAATGTCTCTGATTAGTAATGAACTTCTCCGAGGTCATTAGTGTGAATGGCATTTCATTGTTTTCACTTGAATGCCTCTGATTAGTAATAAAGCGATCGGTCGGCCTCTTGGTCATTTGGACTTCTTCTTTATGAGTCACCTGTCCCTGTCTCCGCTCTGTCTCCTTCTCCTGTATACATGAAATAGGGGCCCTGGCACTTCCAAAGCCGGGAGATGGGCACTAGGGCACAGCTGGGAGGGCTCAGGGAAGCCTGCAAGCCAGGAAGGCCGCAGTAAACACGGAGAGGTGCCAGGATGGCCATGGCCGAGTGTGGAGCGGGCACCGGGGGCTCCCAGCAGCACAGAGGACTATGAGCTGTGAGCCCTCCGTGTGGTACTCCCTGCGGAAACACGGCATCAGGTTTCATCTAAGCCAGGGAACGCACAGCGCCAAGAGAAACACTGATGCCAACTGTGGACTTGGGCAACAGTGAGAGTCAGTGTGGGCGCGTCCATCGTAACTAACGCACCGCTCTGGGGGCTGTCGATAACGGGGGAGTCTGTGCACCTGGGAGGGTGGTGGGTAGGCGGGAAATCTCTTACTTCCTGCTCGACTTTGCTGTGAACTTAAAACCATCCTAAAAAACAAAACTTAATTTTTAAAAGGTTCAAATAATTTAGTACACTAAAATGCAGCTGTTAGATTTGAGCTGAAAACCCACCAAATGAGTATCATCCTTGGGTGGTCCTGGAGGACACGCAATGGCCGGGGAGATAAGGGATCTGTTTCTGGGCTCAGTAGCAGCTGTCTTCTCTAGACTCTGCACACGGTGGTGGGTGCCCTGACACCCTGAGCTCCACAGAGTCAATGGGATTATCAAACACAATTCCAGAAAGCACAGGGCAGGTGGAGGGCCTACCTGTCCAAGGAAGGTAGGCGGAGTAGTGGAGCAGGCAGCAGGTTCTCCACGGGAAAAGAGGCAAGCTTAAGATCCCAGGGACAAGAGAGGTGACCCTGGGTTCTGGAAGCATGATACAAGTGTTTATATCTAGCAATTTCAAAAAAATTTTGTGGGGGACAAGTAGTTGGCATAATGGCTATGTCGCTGCCCATGTAGTCCACTGGACCAGGTGGCTTAAACTCACGCCGGGCGTGTGTGCGTGCATGCCCAAGATCCTGAGAGGAGATTGGAGGAGAAGGGATTGTGGCGTGGCCATCCCCCCTGGGGGGTGATTTCTTGCTGTCTCTCTGTCTCTCTCTGTCTTTCTGGCGAGCGCATGCACCCTATAGCAAAAACCTCTCCAAAGGAAAAAGAAAAAAGAGGAAAAAAGAAAAAAAATTGGGGGCAGAGGATGTGTGTGCTTTCTAAAGAGAGAGAAAAAGAGACTGAGAGACAGAGACAGGGAAAAAGAGAAAGCACCCTTCATGGCGAATGGTCACACCATAATCCTTCCTCCTCCATCCCTTCTTTAGGGTCTTAGGGCATGTATGCACACACACCTGGTGCGTTTTTCAACCACCAGGTCTGGGACTTGAACCACAGGGTCAGCCACGTAGGATCCAACTGCCTTAACCACTCATTCACAAAGATGGCCCAGCACAAATCTCATACTGACTTTTTGGCTTGGGAAGTAAAACTGGGGGATGCCAGGCGGAAGACTAAAACCACTCCCTCCTGTGGCCAGGACCACAGATCCAAATGGACAAGATGTACGGTGAGAAGTACTGGAGATCGGGGCTGCCCCCCAGGACCCATGAGGACAGGGGCAGCAGTCCTATTTCATAGCCACCCGGAATCACCAATGACCACGGGCTGGTGGAAGCCTCACTGAGGAGTGGCCAGATCACAGTGTCAGGGCCGACTGCTCGTTACCAGAGTGGGTGAAGAGAAGTTGGCACGCCGTGAGTGACCACTGCTCCTCTCCACTACCACCAGGAAGGAGGGACAGAGGGGCTGTGTCCACTTGGCAAGGACAACATACACTTTCATAGTCCTAAGAAACTGGGTCATGTGGACGTTGCCCAGAACAGGCTGGTGCCCTGTGTCAAGGACATCTTGCTAGTGGGACCTGGTGACAAGAAGAGGCTGGCAGCTGGCTGCACTCTGAGACAGGGACACACCCCGCACAGATTCAGGGCCTGCCATGTCAGAAGTTCCAGGGGTCGGTAGTCTAGGGCATATGGAACATGCCCTCAAGGGACAGGGACATCCAACACGTTGCTTCTGTAGCTCCTAACTCTGACTGAGCTGCCCACAAAACACAGGGAAACTGAACTCAGAGCCAGCAGGTACAAGGGAGACCCAGGGACCTCCAAGAAGCCATCCTTGGGGAGGGACAGTGGGCAGGCTCGGGGAGGGATGACCCACCAGGGCTGTACGTCTGTCCCTCCTAGTCCCCATTGTCAGCTTGGCGCTCCTCTCCTGGCAGCAGATCCCCAGAGCACCTGACCTCTGTTTCCTGGGATCCTGCTGGCTCCTCTTCCTCCTTGAACCTGCTCCTTTCTCACACGAGCGAACCTGATCAGGCCGGGATCCTTTTCTTGGCACATGTGCAGAAGTTTCGACACAGCTTGCACCAGACACAGTGACATACCGCCTTTAGAGAATGACACCCCTTTCCTCCTAATATGTAAATTGAGAAGTAGCTGCTGACTTAAAAGGAAGTGGATGAAAGACTCGAAAAATCAGGCAGATTTGGGTGTTCACTTCTAAGTTTGGCTCCAAGTCCTTGAAGGGCAGTGGTCACTTGTCATTGACGAGGAGAGGGGACCATGTGGCTGCCCCCAGCTCTGCTCCTTCTCGTCCTCCCAGGTGAGTGGGGCTGAAGGATTAAGATCCTAGAATGGCAGAGGCAGGACTGGAGACACAGGGGGTCTGCCCTGGGGGAAGGAGACGCGTCAGGGAAAGTGGCAGGACCTATTCGTTCATCTGCGCACATAGTCATGAAATAAGATCAACTTCTGTGTCTGACAGGCTCTGGTTGGGTGCTGTGGAAACAAACAGAGTAAAAATAAAACATCTTGTTAGAACAGTGCTGATCTGCGCCAACTGGTGAAGGAACAGATCTAGTTGCAGGAAACACCTGAAAGTACACACAGCCTTTGTGCGACAATGCAGGGCACATGAAAGTCCCAAACAAAGGCGTCATCTACTGCTGGGCATGCTGACTGACTGGATCCAGTGGTCGGGTCAATGAGAAACGAGCAGTAACCCGAGCGTTAGCCAGAGAGGCCAGGAGCGGCTGTTTAGAACGGCGAGGCGCTCCACAGCTGAAGCACGAGGCGTTGTCTCCCCGTAAGAGAATGGGCACCCACCTGCTGGGCCGCGGCATTCTCCAGCAGAGATGCCGATCCGCGTGACCCCCGCTTCTGTGTGTTCTGTCCTTTCTCAGTCCACAGCCCTTCACCTCGGAGTATTTTATCGCTTCGCTCTCGGGCTGGGGCATCTAGTCTCTGATTTTTTCAGTATATGATCGTCTTGGTTTTTCTTCTGTTTTCCAACCTTTGAAAGATTCAGGACACAGGGAGAGGTGTCTTTACTGCAAGAACAGCAACATGTCGAGCGTGATGGATGATAAATGGCAACTGACCCCAGGCCTCAGTGCCGGGGACACTGGGCAGCAGTGGGGACCTGGCAAGCAGGAGAGTAAGGTCTATGTGCAGGCACGGCCGCCTCCCTGCAGCCATGGTTCTTGTGCAAGTGGGCTCCATGTTGGCATCCCCAGTGGAGTGCGGTCGTGCCCATCCTGTCGGGATCTGGGCCACGCACACACATGCACTTGGTAATGCTTTTTCTGCTGCCAGGGCTGGGATTTAAACCAAGGTCAGCCACGCAGGTGCCAGTTCCCTATGCACCGAGCTTAACCAGTATAATATTGTGCTGACCCAAGCCTCTTTTTTTTATAAAAAATACATTTTTACACAATTTTGTTATTATTTGAACTTACTGAAGGGCACCTGTGCTCACCAGAGAAAGAGAGAGAGAGAGAGAGAGAGAAAGCAAGCAGTTCTGGGCCCTGAACTGTGGCTGGGCATGTGGGAGTCCAACACCTTAACCACTTTGCCACCTATTGACCCCACATTTTTTTTCCCTCACGTTTATCCCACGTTAGAGAGTCAGAAGTCCCAACAGGATCGAGATGCTTTGACCCAGTCCCAGCTCCCAGTGCTGGGCACACCTGAGCCAGTGCAGCTGGGGGTGGTGTTCTCTGGACAATCACCTCAGCTTCCCATATTGACCCACGTTTTGCTCCTGTGCCACTATCCAGTCCCCTGGAAACTCTCCATTTTAAATCACCGGCTGAATCAGAAACAGCAACAGCAGAACCCCAGTAACGCGTGGGCTGAGCTGACCCCGCCTGCTGGCTGGAGTAGGCCGTCGGCACTCAGCCCACCAGTGCATCCCTAGGGAGGCTCCCTTCTGAGTCTCTTGTCTTTGTTAGGGTTTGTGTGAGAGATACCATGAAATGAATCTGGCAGACTTCCACTTCTTATGCTCTGAAATTGGAACATGGATATAGCAGAGGAATGTTAGTTTCTTTAGAATCTTAAAAGATTACCTAAAAAGCTGACATGAAAGTCTTATTTGAGTAAATTCTTTGATAACTTGGGTTTTTTTCTCATGATTATTGGCCTACTCGTTTTTTTCTTTTGGCTTGGTTTTTAAACAGTTTTATAATTTTCCCTACAGAAAGTTACCTAGTTTGTTAAGTAAATATTAGCATGAAGTTCTAGTTAGGAAGTGTGTCTTTATAACTAAAAAATTTGGTGTCTATTGTAACATCCTCATTTTGATGACATGTGTTGTTCTATTTTTATTGATGATATGCCACAGAAATTGTTGTTGCTTCTCGGGACCAGCAGTTAGCGTAATGGCTATGTCGCTGGACTCCCACGTAGCCGACCGTGGTTCGAGTCCCAGACCCAGTGGCTTAGACTCACGCCGGGCGCATGTGCATGCGTGTCCAAAATCCTGAGAAGAGAATGGAGAAGGGATTGCGGCGTGGACATCCCCCCCGGGAGTGATTTCTCGCTTTCTATCTCTCTGTCTCTCTCTGGTGAGCGCACACACCCTATAGCAAAAACCTCTTCAAAAAAAAAAAAAAGAAAGAAATTGTTGCTTCTTCTCCCTCTCCTTCTTTTTTTCCTGCATTGAACTAATACTTTTTGAGCTTCAGTTGCTTAGCATTACTGTTCTTATTTGCTAATATGAATTTCTCATCTGTGTAATTTCTTAATATTTCCTTAGAATTACTACTTGTTATCTCTAAGGTAAAAATAGATAATTTTCTTCCTTTTTAAAATTTATTAAAGCATATATATATACATATATATGTGTGTGTGTGTGTGTGTGTGTGTATGCATGAGAA